GTGGGGACAAGGTTCCTGGCCGCGAGGACTAGGTTCATGGCGGTGAGGACAAGGTTCCTGGCGGTGAGGACAAGTATCCTGGCGGTGACGACAAGGTTCCTGGCGGTGAGGAGAAGATTATTGGCGGTGAGGCAATGTTCCTGGCGGTGGGGACAAGGTTCCTGGGGTGAAGACAAGGTTCCTGGCGGGGAGGACAAGGTTCCTGGCGGTGAGGCCAAGGTTCCTGGCGGTGAGGACAAGGTTCTTGGTGGTGAGGACAAGGTTCTTGGAGGTGAGGAGAAGGTTCCTGGCGGTGAGGACAAGGTTCCTGGCGGTGAGGACAAGGTTCTTGGTGGTGAGAACAAGGTTCCTGGCGGCGAGGAGAAGGTTCCTGGCGGTGAGGACAAGGTTCCTGCCGTTGAGGACAAGGATCCTGGCGGTGAGGACAAGGTTACCTGGCTGTCAGGAAAAGGTTCTTGGCGGTGAGGAAAAGGTTTCAGACGGTGAGGACAAGGATCGTAACGGTGAAGACAAGGTTCCTGGCGGTAAGGAAAAGGTTCCTGGCGGTGGGGACAAGGTTTCAGACGGTGAGGACAAGGTTTCTAGCGGTGAGGACAAGGTTCCTGGCGGAGAAGACAAGGTTCTTGGTGGTGAGGACAAGGTTCTAGGCCGCGAGGACTAGGTTCATGGCGGTGAGGACAAGGTTCCTGGCGGTGAGGACAAGTATCCTGGCGGTGAGGACAAGGTTCCTGGCGGTCAGGACAAGGTTTTTGGCGGTGAGGAAAAGGTTTCAGACGGTGAGGACAAGGTTTCTAGCGGTGAGGACAAGGTTCCTGGCGGTGAGGACAAGGTTCCTGGCGGTGAGGTCAAGGTTATTGGCGATGAGGACAATGTTCCTGGCGGTGAGGACAAGGTTTCTGGCGGTGAAGACAAGGTCCCTGGGAGTGACGACAAGGTTCAAGGCGGTGAGGACAAGGTTCCTGGCGGTGAGCACAAGGTTCCTGGCGATGAGGACAAGGTTCTTGGCGGTGAGAACAAGGTTGTTGGCGGAGAGGACAAGGTTCCTGGCGGTGAGGACAATGTTCCTGGCGGTGAGGACAGTTCCTGGCGGTGAGGACAATGTTACTGGCGGTGAGGACAATGTTCCTGGCGGTGAGGACAAGGTTACTGGCGGTGAGGACAATGTTCCTGGCGGTGAGGACAAGGTTACTGACGGTGAGGACAAGGTTCCAGGCGGTGAGAACAAGGTTACTGGAGGTGAGGACAAGGTTCTTGGCGGAGAGGACAAGGTTCCTGACGGTGAGGCAAGGTTCTTGGCGGTGAGGAAAAGGTTCCTGGAGGCGACGACAAGTTTCTTGGCGGTGAAGACAAGGATCGTGACGGTGAAGACAAGGGTCCTGGCGGTAAGGAAAAGGTTCCTGGCTGTGAGCACAAGGGTTCAGACGGTGAGGAAAAGGTTTCCAGCGGTGAGGACAAGGTTCCTGGCGGTGAGGGCAAGGTTCCTGGCGGTGAGGACAATGTTACTGGCGGTGAGGACAAGGTTCCTGGCGGTAAGGACAATTCCTGGCGGTGAGGACAATGTTACTGGCGGTGAGGACAAGGTTCCTGGCGGTAAGGAGAATGTTACTGGCGGTGAGGACAATATTCCTGGCGGTGAGAACAATGTTTCTGACGGTGAGGACAAGGTTCCTGGCGGTGAGGACAAGGTTCCTGGCGGTGAGGACAAGGTTCCTGGCGGTGAGGACAAGGTTCCTGGCGGCGACGACAAGGTTCCTGGTGCTGAGGTCAAGGGTCCTGGCGCTGAGGACAAGGTTCCTGGCGGTGAGGACAAAGTTCCTGGCGGTGAGGACAAGGTTCCTGGCGGTGAGGACAAGGTTCCTGGCGGTGAGGACAAGGTTCCTGGCGGTGAGGACAAGGTTCCTGGCGGTGAGGACAAGGTTCCTGGCGGTGAGGACAAAATTCCTGGCGGTGAGGCCAACGTTCCTGGCGGTGAGGACAAGCCTCCTGGCGGTGAGAACAAGGTTACTGGTTGTGAAGACAAGGTTCCTGGCAGTGGAGACAAGGTTCCTGGCAGTGGGGACAAGGTTCCTGGCGGTGAGGACAAGGTTCCTGGCGGTGAGGACAAGGTTCCTGCCAGTGAGGACAAGGTTCCTGGCGGTGAGGACAAGGTTTCTCGCGTTGAGGACAAGGTTCCTGCCGGTGAGGACAAGGTTCCTGGCGGTGTGGACCAGTGAGGACAAGGTTCCTGGCGGTGAGGACAAGGTTCCTGCCGGTGAGGACAAGGTTCCTGCCGGTGAGGACAAGGTTGCTGGCGGTGAGGACAAGGTTCCTGGCGGTGAGGACAAGGTTCCTGCCGGTTAGGACAAGGTTCCTAGCGGTGAGGAAAAGGTTCCTGGCGGTGAGGTCAAGGTTCCTGCCGGTCAGGACAAGGTTGCTGGCCGTGAAAACAATGTTCCTGCCGGTGAGGACAAGGTTCCTGGGAAGTGAGGACAAGGTTGCTGGCCGTGAAAACAATGATCCTGCCTGTAACGACAAGGTTCCTGCCGGCGACGACAAGGTTCCTGGCGGCGTAAGGACGAGGTTTCAGTCGGTGAGGACAAGGTTCCTGCCAGTGAGGACAAGGTTCCTGCCGGTGACGACAAGGTTCCTGGCGGTGACGACAAGGTTCCTGGCGGTGAGGACCTTGTTCCTGGCGGTGAGGACCTTGTTCCTGGCGGTGAGGACCTTGTTCCTGGCGGTGAGGACAAGGTTCCTGGCGGTGACGACAAGGTTCCTGGCGTTGACGACCTTCTTCCTGGCGGTGAGGACAAGGTTCCTGCCGGTGAGGACAAGGTTTCTGGCGGTGATAACAAGGTTCCTGGCGGTGAGGACAAGGTTCCTGCTGGTGAGAACAAGGTTCCTGCCGGTGAGGACAAGGTTCTTGGCGGTGAGGACAAGGTTCCTGTCGGTGACGACAAGAGGGAGTTTAAGATTGGCGACTATCCTGCCGGTGAGGACAAGGTTCTTGGCGGTGAGGACAAGGTTCCTGTCGGTGACGACAAGAGGGAGTTTAAGATTGGCGACTACGGACAACGAACAACGAATGAGGAAGAGAGAGAACTGGGTAGAGGTGCTGGACAGGATCATATAGATTGGCTATTAAACCATTAGGCAGAGCAACTGATTGGAATTTAAGTGCATGCACACGTTTATGTCCATTGTACACTACACGCTGCATCTTGCCAGGGCGGCATATTTGACGCACTGTACCATCAACAAACCCTAAGCAATTGACTAAGGGACTTGCTCGTTCTCTAATTGCATTTGCAAACTGTTCAAGTGCCAAAGGAGATAAAAAGCTTTGGTTCCATGATGTTAGGTGGAAGCCATGAACATCATAAATCCAGTCATGTACTGTATTGTAGATCATGCATAGCTCAGGCACAGGTCTTGCAAATGTGCTCATCATGTCAACATATCGACAAGGATATGCTAACCTGAAGGAAAGTTCAAATAAAATACATAAATATAAAAATGCAGGTATACGACAATAAAACATGCACACTATTAAATATAAATTAACATTTATACTGTATTATGTATACTGTACCTTTTTAACAGTATGCACAACCCTTCAATGCCATCACAAATTGTTCCTTGACCACACTTAAACGTTTCTGGAACTCTCAAAGCATCTACAAGAATAGGTATGTCCTCTTGTTTTACTCTGAACATGGCTTCAAACTCACTGGAATCGTACTCTTCCCAGCAAAAATCACCAAATTCCCAGTAAGGGTAAGCAGGATTTGTTGACTTATATGCATCGTAGAGAAGCACGAACTCTTCGTCATCTATCTGCCCATCGCCATAACTTAACACCAGAGCTGTTCTAACATCTTGAAAGGACATCTCAACCGGTTTATGAGTGTCCTTAAGTTTTGAATTAGGACAAATATATGTATATATAAATCAAGTAGTGAAGTACGTTGTCGCCTTTGTAGTCGAAATCTTAATCGCTAAACTTCTCCGTACGTCGCGCGCTTTTTGTCGTAGTCGGCCCAATCTTCCAAATGTTAGACCGCGCATGAAAACGCGTTGTCCGTAGTCTGTTGCCGTGGTATCTTAAAGTCCTTATTATGCCGAGGGGGGGGGATGAAGATGTTAAGGGGGGCTCCGAAATATTTTCTGGCATTAAAGGGGGGGCTCTGAAAGTTCTTGATATACTGAAGGGGGGCTCTAAACTTTTCAAAGGTTTGACCCCAGCAAATTAAAGTTAAAATTTTTACATCAGTTTCAGGTAAAATTTGCGTAATAAAGTAATTATTTTTGTGAAATGATAACCATTTTTGTAAAATACAGTCAATTTACATGCAATTTGTTTGCGAAATTTGCTTTAGAAAACGCCAGAAATTCAGTCCTAGAGCTTCGAAAATGTAAAAATTTTCTGGGGGAGGACCCCCAGACCCCCCTTTTCTCCCAAAACTTAGTATAAGAGTGCCAATCAATCACAAAAAGCTTTATTATAATTATTACACGTATAATCCTCTGACATCCCCCCCCCCCACCCCAAACGTCAGATGCTTTGCTACATCCCTGATGGTTGTATTCGAAACCGATTTCAGTTTTAAGATATCCTTAGTCTGCTCTTCTAAATGGATACATGAAATCACCTATAGCTTATTTTAAATTTTTTTGCGCCAGGTTTGTGAAGTAATTTACGCGCCAAAAAGCAAAAAAGCATATACAATTTGCAAGAATGATATGTTCTATGTTTATGGGATATTTCGTACAAACGGGATGGAAATTAAAGAAATTGAAGCATACTGGCACTTTTGCATGCATTTTTGACAGGCATGCAAAGACATTTGCAACAGATGCCGGAAGATACGTTGGGTGGGGGCAACACACTGTAAGGTTCCAGCACATTACCCTGATCCAGGAAATCCTGGCCACTACATGAACGTGTTCAAGACTCCGAATACGCTGAATGATGGACAACAACAACCTGTTGATAATTCCACCCCTAGAGCCAATTTAAAATGTTTTAAAGACAGTGCCATTTCATCTGGCGCTAGTGAGATGAAAGAAGCAGCAGATCGGTAGTTTTGTTGAGGAGAAGCACTTGAGTATATCAGACATCTTGAGGAACTGCAAATTGTATCTATGATAAGAGAGAATTCCGGATTGTACTCCTTCGATTCCGAATTCTAGAGGGGGGGGGGCATTGAAAATTTTAAAAACTTGGAGGGGGGGGCATCGAAATTTACCGATAACCTCAACAGGGGCCCTGTAAAAATATGAGCTTTTTTCAAGACATCTTCATCCCCCTCCCTCGGTGTAATAAATGTACTTTCCCTTATAGGACGAAGAAAGCCAAGAAGGCCGTTAATACCCATTTAAGAACACGTCGGCTTCCAGACAAAAAACAAGCGACAAATGAAACAAAATAATGCACAAGTGCGCGCTTCAATACGGCTGCAATTAACGAAGTTATTTTATAATTTCTCGTGTCCTGTTCCTTTCTCGATGAAGGTCAAAATGCAAATGAACTTCAAAATTAAATCACAAGAAATCTACCCATGAGCCTTTGCGGGCCGTGGCCAACCTCCTCTGTTCCGCCATATTGTTTTTCTCTCGTTGCCCATTATAAAACTCACGATCATAATAATATTATACTGAATCTGAATACAAAGCTTGATTCTCACATATTGTAAACATCGGCGATGCCCACTGTCGGTGGTCATCGATGCATAAAATGGTTTGTCCATTTTCTTCTTCGTTGCTCAGAGACCATAGATCGTAGAACATCGCCGATTAATGAGAAACAGGCTTAAATGAGCGAAAGACAATTTCATGGTAAAAGGTTATAACTTAGTTTTAGATAACATTAGAATGTTAGGGTTTGTAATCCAAGTGAGAATATATACATTTTAAGACCCAACCAGGAACGACTGCGAAAAATGCAGCACAAGGTCATCTGGTAGGAATTGAACCTACGGCCCTGCGATTCCGGTGCAGCGCTCTAACCAACTGAGATACAGAGGTCAGCTGTTGAGCTGTAATCGTAAATTCATGTATATATAGGTGATCGGGTGTGCGGGTTGTGCTAAGGTGGACTTGAATAACTTAGATTCTTCCACTTAACTTGGTGGAATTAATATTAGGATGTTAGGGTTTGTAATCTAAGTGATTATATACATTTTAAGACCTGACCAGGAACGACTGCGAAAAATGCAGCACATGCAAGGTCCTCTGGTAGGAATTGAACCTACGGCCCTGCGATTCCGGTGCAGCGCAACAGGTGGGAAATTTGACGTCGCTGACCAAAAAATCGCGGGCAGAAACAAAGCTCATTGCAATTGCATTCAAAACAAAGCAGATAGTTAGCAAGAAGCTGTTTTAGCTGACGATTTTTTGCTTTCCATTCAACGATTTACAAATTATTGGTTATTCTTTTAAAAGTCGATCATGAATTATTTGTTTTGGGATGATTGTTTTGGAATCGCGTGATTGGAAGAAGTTAATATGGCGACGTGAACATGGGAGTAAATACCGTATACGTCGATCTATGGCTCGTTTAAAACCGTAATAAACGAAGAAAGACGTGATTTGAGAATGAAATGTAAGTTGAAATTAACTTTATATGCCTCAAATTTTCCATCCTATGTTTCTTAATGTAACTTCAGCTGTCTAAGTTCAAAGTACAAGCTCGCGAAATTTGACAAATTTTGAAAATATGTAAAAATAGCTTGACTTTGAACTGTATTTTCTCAAAAATAGCCCGTGGCCTCAATTTCAAATATAGCTAAATGAAAAGAAAAAAACATTTCGGCGTTTGTAGGTATCAAGCATATCGTCAGGAAAATAGGGGCTCACAATGTTTTAGTTCAGTCTTTGAGACCCAGTTGCTTCGCACGTGTTGTGTTCAAATTTTTGCCAAGAATCAAAGGCCGAAATGTGAACTTCCTTCATGAAAACCGCTTCGAGAAGGGTCCAGTTTGAAAATTTAGCTATTAATTTCGATTTCATGAGCATATTTTGGTTAAACGTTAAGTATTTTTGTGCTTGATGAGATTCAAAATTTGTTGTATATTCAAGCCCGGCTTTTGTGTAATTTTGGTGATGACCGGAACAGAAATAAAGATATTTAAAAAACTGGCCGTGGCCTCACGACAAAACTTTCTACAAATGTTCTCTGTTTCATGTACTTTTATTTGATATCTTAGGTATAAGCGTAAAAATAGGGGCTCTACAGTTTGAGAGGTTGTAAAATGCATGACTTGCCTCTATTTTAATGTAAACATTCGAAATTCTTCGACAGCAAAGTAGCAACTGTTTCAGATCGAATGCACAGGGACAGCCCACCAGAGACAATGGCAGTGTACTGAAATAGAACGTCACTAAAAAATTCTGTATAATTAATTTAGATCATGTCCACTCTTTCAACATAAAACAGTCATTTATTTTGTACAAACATTTGGCAATATTTACACGATTGTGCCTTTTTGCAAACACGCGTTGCGTGTATTCCTCGCAATTGCGTGACTCATTTTACTCGCGCATGCTCAGACAAATTTCCCACCTGTTGTGCAGCGCTCTAACCAACTGAGCTACAGAGGCCAGCTGTTGAGCTGTAACCGTAAATTCATGTATATATAGGTAATCGGGTGTGCGGGTTGTGATAAGCTGGACTTGAATGATGTGGTTTCTAGCACTTCACTTGCATGGTGGAATTAATACCTTATCACAACCCGCACATCCGATTACCTATATATATACATACATGAATTTACGGTTACAGCTCAACAGCTGGCCTCTGTAGCTCAGTTGGTTAAAGCGCAGCACCGGAATCGCAGGGCCATAGGTTCAATTCCTACCAGAGGACCTTGTGCTGCATTATTCGCAGTCGTTCCTGGTCAGGTCTTAAAATGTATATAATCACTTGGATTACAAACCCTAACATTCTAATATTAATTCCACCAAGTGAAGTGCTAGAAACCACATCATTCAAGTTTTAGATAACTACTTTTGTCTTTATGAGAAGCATGTTGGTCCCTAGTAGTTAGCTGTGGAAACGTGAAAACTGTAGTGTGAAATATAATATTGTATTTGTAATGCCTAATGGCTCAATAAGGATAAAAATACCACCGTTCGATTCAGCGTAAAAAATTGTACTTACGGATGTCGAATGTGTATTACTAAACACCAGTATTCTAGCAATTTATGGCCTTTGAAAATCAAGCGAAATTGTATTGTTGACAAATCGCTTGTAGTACGCGGCATTGTTGACAAATCACTCGCAGTACGTTTGTCCTTGTATTTGTGACGCCTTCTGAGTAATGGCGCAATAAGGATAAAAATACAACCCCACTTATGTTCATAGCCCGGTCCGAATTTATCTTAGCAGCACTTACAGATCAGAAACACAAATACAATTTATCTCAGCAGCACTTGCAGATACGAGACATAATTATGCATGTGTATTGCCTGGCCTGAGTTGAAGTGATTTTTAATGCAATTCTCATTAGACAACTGGTATATATCTCCCCCCCAATTCACAGCCTAATTCATTCTATTTTATTAGTCCACATGCAGTATATGTACAATAGTTGTGTCATATCCATTTTCAGATGCATGGTTAACATAAATCCTGATCATATCTTACACATATGAATTTGCTATTCAAACACACTTGATCTCCCTGAGCCTTTGACTCACTTAAGGGCAAATAACAGGAGAAATCCTTAAAATAAGCAACTTTGATCTGTGGCTTTGTTGGTGTAACTACTTCGTAACATTGATAATGTTTGTTAAAAAGAAGGGTTTCTTTCTCTGATACAATTAACATTGTTTCACTAACTATTTTGTTGACAATAGCTATTTTGTCAATTTTCCAAAACAATGGGAAC